AGGGAAAATAGGCAGAACTACTGTGAGAAAAACTAGAATTAAAGCTGAAGTATGAACAACGCTGAAAATTAAAATAATATACTCATCAAATTCCATCCCTTTAGCTGGTTTTAGACATGCTAATGATGACTATTTTTAGTAAAAGTTTTAACTTCTCATTAAAGTTTGAGGAAAAGCTTGATAATTTTTTGTACATTTTATTAACATGTTTTTAAAATACTTTTTTTACTGGAGCTATGAATTGAATTTGTTGTTTTATCTTTTAGTCAATTATTTCACTTTGATAACTTTGTACTATTTCTATTGTGAGATTTGAAGTAACTTAAAATAATGGAAGGGAAACTTTGTTCAGGCAGTTTCAAGAATTAAATGCTCAATACATCAGTGAACACAACATAAGATTTTCATTCTCTTAATAATGTACAATGTACAAAAGTTTTAGTTTTGATGAAGTCCAGTTTGTTTATTTTTTCTTTTGTTGCTTGTGCTTTTGATGTCATACTTAAGAAACAGTTGCCAAATATGAGGTCATTAAGATATCCCCCCGTTTTAAGAGTTTTATAATTTTAACTCTTTAATTTAGGTCTTTGAACTATTTTGAGTTCATTCCCCCACACCAGTTATTGAAAAGACTGTCCTTTCCAAATTAGATGTTCTCCCCACCTTTATGGAAAATCAATCAATCATATATGTAATGATTTCTTTTTTTCAGCTCTCTATTCTATTCCATTTATATATTCGTCTATCCTCATGGCGGTGCCACATTTTCTTTTTCTTCGTTGATAGACTTTGGTGAGATTGGCAGAGTGCCTTTTGTGAAATAGGTATTTTCCTAGTTCACACACTGAAGTTATCACCCTCTGAATATTACTTTTTCGACTTTATATTAGGTTCTTCAAACTGACCTTCTACTGTGCTCAGGGTCCCAGCATTCTTTCCTATACCTTGAGTACTATGCTAGTTAAAATCCAAGCTATGAATAAATTTTGGCTGCAGGGCTCTCTTATCCTGTGGAACTGTACTTTATCATTTTATCTGACTTTTGTTTTGTCTTTCGTACTGTTTGTTAAAGCATGCTTTCAACATAAAGTTTTGATATAGTACTGTGCATTTTCAAATATTCTTCACCGGGAAGAGATTCTCTGTACATCTAGTCTACCATGTAAAAGTTGAGAATAGGATTTTTGAGAACAGCTTTGTAATCCATTCTTGATAATCAGCTTGCATATAATTGGAAGTAATAATTTATCATATTTACATAAATTTTTCTCAGCAACTTTTAATTATATGCTATTAAAATTTTCTATATAATTATGTTACTGTATTGGCAATTTAGATATGGCACCATGATTTTCTGGTTGCCAGTATTATTAAGCAATTATTAATATTTTGTGTTTTGATATTGTATTGGCAAGTTAGATATGGCATCATGATTTTCTGGTTGCCAATATTATTAAGCGATTATTAATATTTTGCATTTTGAAACAGTAAATGCCCTTAAAAATGACTACACAAATCAAGAAATAGCATAGATAATAACATTGCAGGGTTTTTTTTTTTTCAGCTTGTTTTGGAGGGATGCAGTTCTTTGTCCATAGAAAATCATATATCCACTGTATTATTTGAGAGAACAGTGTGTACTTTATTAAACAGATTATTGTAATAAATGTTTTTTATATTTTTCTTTCTTAGTTTTACAGTCTTTAATAGTGGTGTGATGATTATTTTTTTTCTTACAGGTTTTCTTTAGGTGATGCTAGAAGGCCTCTTCATGAAACAGCAGTTTTGGTAGAGGATGTGGTACACACTCAGTTAATTAATTTGGTAAGAGCATATGTATAATCTTATTTGGTATCTCTCTGCATCCTGCTTGTATTGGGATTCAACTCAATACCTTTTTTTAAGATTATATTCACATTAAAAAAAAATTATATGTACATTTAGAATTCTTTTCCTCAACCTTATTTAGGTATAGTTTACATATAACAAAATTTCACCAGTTTAAGTACATAATTTAGCGAGTTTTGACAACTTAGTGTCATGTGACTACTATCCCAATCCTGACATAGATCATTTTCATCATCCAAAAAGTTTCTTTGTGCCACCTGTAAATCAGTTTTAGTCATCCACCCTCTGACCGCTGATAACAGGTTTTCTAATCTGTTTTCTGTCGCTATGTAAGTATAGTTTTTCCAGAACTCTTTTAAAAACTTATTTATTTTGAATTTTGAGCTTACAGAAGTATTGCACAAATAGTTCATAGAAGTCCGAGATATCTACCCTTCAGCTTCCTCTGTTAACATCTGATGTAACCATAGTACAATTATCAAAACCAAGAAATAACATTGGTACAACACTGTTAATACAGTTATCAACCTTATTTGAATTTTATCAGTTTTCCTGTTATTGCTTCTCTTCTGTTCCAGGAGATAATTCAGTATAAAACACTGTAGTTAGTTATCATGTCCTTGTAGTCTTTTCTGATCTATGATAGTTCCTCAGTCTTTCCTTTCTTTTATGACCTTGACACTTTTGAAAAGTACAGGCAGTTATTTTGTAGAATGCTCTTCTTTTTTCAATTAGTCTGATATTTTCTTATGATTAGAATGTGGCTATGCTTTTATGGCAAGAATACCACAGAAGTGGTAGGCCTTTCTAAGTGTATCAAATCAACAGGTTCATGTTGTTGATAAGTCTTATTTGTGATCTTAACCTTGAATACTTGGTTACGGTGGTAAATGCACTCTAAAAGTTACTATTATTTTTTTTTTCATTTTGTTGTTAATAAGTAACCTGGGAGTATATTTTATGCATATGCAAATATTCTTTTTCTCTGAAAATTTTTGCATATCAATTTTAACATTCATCAATATATTTTGTGTGACACTATTGTTACTGTGGTATTTGTCTAATAGTGGTTTTCTGTTTCTTCTTTCCTTTTATATTTTTTAATTCCAATTATCCTGAAAGGAATAGTTATCTTTTATCACCATTTGTTTATTCACTTTTTAATGTATATATGTATGGGCTAATGTATATTTAAATTTTATTTGTAGGACCATTATACAGTAATAACATTATTTATTTTAATTGCTCAAGTCATACCAGTGTTGGCCCTTAGGAACCTGTCATGTCCTTTCCCCTTTTTTCTATCAGATTTTTGGTCCCATGTCTGATATATATTAGGGATATCAGTCTTTTGTGGTATATGTTAATAATATTCTTATAGTGTGTCACTTATCTTTGGACTTGTTTTTATGGGCTGTTTTGGACATACAAGTATTTTTAATGTAGTCAAATGTATCAATCATTTATTGCCTTTAGATTTTGAATCATTGTTAGAAAGACTTCTCCTTATACCGAATTTAAAGAGTAATCCGTCCATGTTGCCTTCTAGTACTTGTATGAGTTTAATTTTTAATGTTTATATTCCTAATTCATTTGTAGATTATTCTTGTTTATGTGTGAGATATGGATCTAATCTTTTTCCAGATGACTACTCAGTTATACCATCACCATTTATTAAAAAGTCTGTGCTTTTCCTAATGATTTGAGATGCTTCCTTTATCATATTAGCATATGCATTAGGATATATCTCTGACTTTGTATTCTATACCAATGGTTAATTTGTCTATGCATGTGCTAATATGACATTTTTAATTACATAGGTTTTATAGTATATTTTAAAGATTGTTACAGCTAGTCTCACCTTGTAATTATTCTTTCTCACTGTGCTCCTGGCTATTCTTGTATGTTTATTTTTCCATGTGAACGTTAGTATTAAATTTTGTGGCTCCATAAAATAACTCATAGGTATTTTTATTGAGATTGCATGAATTTATAATTTAGAGAGAACTGCATCTTTAGAATGTCAAATCAGTCTAAGAATAGGGAACATCTTTACATTTTTCAAGATTACTTTTGTGTCTTTCATGAGTGTTTTAATATTTTTCTTCTATAGGCTTCATATATTTTGTCTTAGATTTCTTCCTAAGTGCAATCTTTTTTGTTGCTATTGCAAATGGACTTTCTCTCTAATTACATCATGACTGAAAACATCTGAAATTTACTGAAATACATAAATCTGCAGATTCCAGAAGCTGAGCAAACTCCAAACAGGATAACCCAAAGAAATGCGCGTTCAAACTGCTGAAAACTAAAGACATAATATAAATCTAAAAGCAGCCAGATTTATTACCATAGGAAAACAATGATTTGAACGCAGAATTTTCATTAGAAATCATGGAGACTAAAAGGAAATGGCACAGCAGTTTTAAAGTACTGAATGTAGAATTCTCGGTCGGCAGTTTTTTTCTTTGACTTTGTATTCATATGGCTTTTTTTTCCTTTTCTTTGTGTCTGCATGTGACTCTCCCCACCCCGCCACCCAAGAACATCAGGTATTTGTTCAGTGCTATTGTCATATGTATCAAAGCTATATACATGCTGTTATCTTCACATTGTTGTGTTAACAGCTTTTTTTATAGAGTTATATGTCTTTTAAAGGAATAAATGGAAGTATGGATAAAAGGAAGTATATGTTATCTTTTACATTTACCCACATGTTTACCATTTTCCAGCCTCATTATTCTTTGTTACAAATCGGAGTTGACATTTAAATCATTTCCTTCAGCTGGAAGAATTGTAACATCTTTTGTAGTACAGGTGACACTGATAAATTCTCTTGTTTCTTTTACCTAAATATCTTTTTTCACCTTTATTCTTTATGTGGACCCTAGGTGATAATCTTTTCCTTTTAGCTTTTTGAGTATGCCACTCCAATATTTAATGACATATGTTAATTTCTGATGTCAAGTCAGTTATTATTTACTTATTCCTTGCATAACATGTTACCTTTCTCTGCATGATTCAAGGTTTTCTCTTCATTATTGTGTCTCAGAAGTTTGATGTTTCTAGGACTGATTTTCTTCATGATTATCTTGCTTGCAAGTTTGTTGATCTTGTTGGGTCTGTAAACTAATATTTTCTTCTATTTTGTGGAAGTTTTCAGCCATTATTTTTTTCTTGTGTCTTTCATTTTGAGATTTCAGTTGTATGTGTTTTGGACCATTTGTTATTGTTTCACAAATCTGATGGTCTCTAAAGTTTTTCTACAAACTTTTTTTTCTTCAGTTTTGTTCGGCCTTGATAGTTTCTGTTGATATCTTTAAGATTTTTCTGGAATCTTTAATCCGCTATATACTCAATATAGTGTATTTTTCATTTTACTGATAGTATTTTCTGTTATACTATTTGAAAATGTATCTTATTGGGTTAAAATAACCCTTTTTGAATTATGGGTATATATTTTTATATTGTTCTAACATTTTTTCTTTTTTAATTAAATGTATTGGGATGACATTGGTTAATAAAATTATATAGGTTTCAAGTGTACAATTCAGTAATATGTCATATGTGCATTGCATTGTGTGTTCACCACCCAAAGTTAAATTTTCTTCCGTCATCATGTATTTGACCGCATTTACCCTTATCTTCCTCCCTCCTTCCCCACTTTCCCTCTGGTAACCACTAAACCGTTGTTTGTGTGTATGAGTTTTTGTTTGTTTCTCTTGTTCATTTGTTGCTTTCAATTTGATATCTCACATGTAAGTGAAATCATATGGTTCTCAACTTTTTCTCTCTGACTTATTTTGCTTAGCATGATAATCTCAAGATCCATCCATGTTGTCACAAAAATCCATTTTTTCTTATGGCTGAGTAATATTCCTTGTATATATGTACCACATCTTTTTTATCCAAACCTACATCAAAGGGCAGTTGAGTTGTTTCCATGTCTTGGCCACTGTGAATAATGCTGCAATGAACATAGGAACCCTCACACAATGCTACTGGGAATGCAAATTGGTACAGCCACTATGGAAAACAGTATGGAGGTTCCTCAAAAAATTAAGAATGGAATTACCGTATGACCCAGCAATCTCTCTTCTGGCTATCTACCCTCAAATTTGAAAACACTTATTTGTAAAGATATATACATCCTAATGTTCTTCCAGGATCTTCTGTGATTCCATATGAATTTTATTATTCCATATGAATTCTATGATTTCAAAGAATTTTCTATTTCTGTGAAAAATTACATGGGAATTTTGATAGGGATTACATTGAATCTATAGAGGCTTTGGGTAGTATGGACATTTTAACAATATTAGTACTCCTGACCTATGGACACAAGATGTCTTTCCATTTATATGTGTTATGTTCAGTTTCTTTCATTCAGTGTCATATTTTTTAATGTAGTGATATTTTACCTCCTTAGTTAAATTATTTCAATTTTATTTTTTTGATGTGATTTTAAATGTGCTTGTTGTCTTTATTTCTCTTTCAGATAGTTTATTGCTAGTGTATAGAAATGCAACTGATTTTTGTGTCTTGACTTTGTATTCTGAAACTTTATTGAATTTGTTTTTTAGTTCTAAAGTTTTTTGATGGAGTCTTTAGGTTTTCTATGTATAATATAATATCATCTGTAAACAGACAATTTTACATCTTCCTTTCTGATTTGGATACTTTTAATTTACTTTTATTGCCTATTTTTTCTGGGTAGGACTTCAGTACTATGTTGAATAACAGCAGTGAGAAAGGGCACCCCCTTGCCTTGTTACCAAAATTAGAAGAAAAATTTTCCGTCTTTTACTGTTGAATATTATATTAGCTATTGGTTTGTCATATATGGCCTTTATTATATTGAGGTATATTCCATCTATACATAATTTGTTGAGTACTTTTATTCTGAAAGGATCTTGAATTTTGTGAAATTTTTTTTCTGCATCTATTATGATCATATAATTTTTATCCTTCCATTT